ACCTTTACATTTATTTGTGTCTCTTAAAACTTATTTCAGCAATGCTGTATAGTTTTCAGTGCACCAGTTTCTTGCTTAAGTTGATTCCCAAGTATTTTATTCTTTTTGATGCTATTGCAAAATAGCTTTTAAAGATTTTTCCCTCAGATTGTTCATTTTTATGGTATATAAGAACCCAACTTACTTTTGTGTGTTAATTTCATCATGCAGCTCTTCTAAATTTGTTTATTAGTTCTAATTGGTTTTTGTTGAATGTTTAGTTTTCTACATGTAAGATCATGTAAGCCTTGATCAGAGATGATTTTACTTCTTTCCAATTTGTATGCCTTTTATTCTGGTTTTTCTTACCTAATTGCTGTAGCTAGGACTTTCAGAATAAGTAGCAGAGGTAAAAACAGACGTCCTTGTCTTCTTCCTGAACTTAGAGGAAAAAGCTTTCATTACTGAGTCTGATGTTAGCTATGGGCTTCTTCTATATGGTGTTTATTATGTTGAGGTAACTCCCTTCTATCCCAGTTTTGTGAGTGCTTTTTATCATGCAAGGGTGTTGGATTTTATCAAGTACTTTTTCTGCATCAACCAAGATAATCATGCTGTATTTCTTTTCTTTCTTCTCTTAATGTGATCTATTACATTGATTGATTTTTGTATGCTAAACCAATCTTACTTTCCAGAATTAAGCCCCACCCAGTCATGGTATATAATCCTTTTAATGTGCTGTGGAATTCTGTTTTCTAATATTTTGGTGAGAATTTTTTGCATGGATATTTATCACAGATTTTGGGTCTACAATTTTATTATATCTTTGACTGACTTTGGTTTCAAAGTAGTCCTGGTCTCCCAAAATAAGTTTGGAAGTATTCCCTCCTCTTCAGTTTCTTGAAAGAGTTTGAGAATTCTTCTTTTAATGGGTGATAAAATTCACTAGTGAAGCCAACTGGTCCTAGACTTTTGTTTGTTAAGAGCTTTAGCCAGGCTCCATGGCTCAGCCTGTAACCCTAGCACTTTGGGAGGCCGAGGCGAGTGGCTTGCCTGAGCTCACAGGTTCAAGACCAACCCGGGCAACTTGGCGAGACCTCATCTCTACAGTAAGCCAAAAATTAGCCAGGCATGGTAGCATGCACATGTAGTTCCAGCTACTTGGAAGGCTGAGGTGGAAGGATCCCCTGAGCCCAGCAGGTCAATGTTGGGGTGACTGTGAGCCGCCTTGGCATTCCAGCCTGGGCTACAGTGAGACTTCAACTCAAAAAATAAAAAGAGAGATTTTAGCTTACTGAGTCAATCTCCCTGCTACATATGGGTCTGTTAAGATTTTCTATTTCTTTAGAGTTAGTTTGGTAAGTTGTATGTTTCTAAGAATTTAGTCATTTAATCTAAATTATCCAATTTGTTTATAGTATTCTCTTATAATCCTTATTCTGTGGCATCAGTTTTAATGCCCCTTCTTTCATTTCTGATTTTAATTATTTTTGAGTATTCTCTTTTTTACCTAATCAACGTAGCTAAAATTTTGTCAATTTTGTTTTCTTTTAGAAAAACCAACTCTCAGTTTCATTAACTTGCTCTGTTTTTTAATCATCTGTTTCATGTATGTCTTCTCTGATGTTTATTCTTTTCTTCTTTCTGCTAGTTTTGAATTTAGTTTTTTCCTTTTTTCTAGTTCCTTAAGATGTAAGGGTAAATTATAGATCTGAGCTCTTTCTCCTTCTTTTAACATAAGCATTTCTAGCTATATTTTCCCTGTTAGCACCATTTTTTTTTCATCCTATAGGCTTTAGCATGTTGTGGTTTTGTTTCCATTTATTCCAAGATATTTTATAGTTTCCCTTACCATTTCTTCTTTGGCCCATTGGTGGTTTTGGTTGTTTACAAATATATTAATTTTTACTTACTTGTGAATTTCCCAGTTATTTTTTTCCTGCTGTTGATTTCCATTTTCATTCCATTATGACTGGGAAATATGCTTTTTTCCCAAAAGATGAAACTGGTTTTGTGTCCTAATATAGGCTCTATCCCGCAGAATGTTCCACTTGCACTTAAGAAAAGTGAGTATTCTGCTGTTGTGGGTAGAGTGTTCTGTATACATCTTTCTAGGTCCAGTTATTGGTTAATAATGTTGTTCAGCTCCTCTGTTCCTTACTGATGTTCTGTCTGATTGTTCTATTGACTTGCTTTTTAACAAGGTTCTTCTGGCTGTGTTGAAATGAGCCTCTTGGAGGGGAGAGCAGGGAGACCAGTGAGAGACTACAGTGTCAATTCAGGAGAGAGGTGGTGGTGACTTGGACAGGGAGGTGGGAGGGGGTGAGAAATGGTTGGAATGTGAGGATGTTTTGGAGGTCCAGCCAACAGATTTCACTGACTTTAGAATCTGGAACTGTTATCCTAAGGAAGTAAAGGAATCTGCCCAAGGTCCTATGGCTGGTAAGTGGCTGATCCAGGATTTGAACCTAGGCCTGACTGCCCCCACATTCTCAGCTCCTAATTAACTATGTGATTCTCTGAAAGGGCTCCTGACTCAATGCCTGACACCTCTCCCCTGCTCACCCCATGCCCAGTGTCTCCCTAGAAGTTCTGTACCATCTACTACCAAACCTGAACTCACTCCCTCTGCCCTATCTTTCCAAGGACATCACCATCTGGGTGCTTGGCACCCTCCTTCTGGAAGGTTTGCAGCACCACTGTTCCCTCAGAGGCAAGAGGAAAAAAGGAGGCAGGTATCCAAAGAGGGGAGAGAGTTGGGCAAATGTTCTGAGACCATGTGGGCTTCATGACATATCGCAGAAAGGGCTCAGGCCCTGAAGTCAAACAAGCCTGGGTCCAAGCCCTGACTCCACTCCTCCCCAGCTGTGTGACCCTAGGCAGGTTACACCACTTCTCTGGGCCTCTGTTTACTCCCTTTACAAACAGGGATAATAATGTTATTGCTCTATTACCCACAATTATGGTGACAAGAAAACATTTTTTCAGATGAAATACTCTTCCAGAGGCTGAGGTTGATCGTGATTCTTCAAGGCATTTATTCTCTAAAGAGAACTTCATTGAGCACCTACTATGTGCTGGAACTCAAGGTAGATGTTGTTGTCATAGCTATAAAGCAGGGAAGCACAAAGTACTTGCCCTCAGGGGTTCAGCGCCTGGCAGGGAAGACAGGTGCTGACCAAACCATGACACACCTGTTAAGCGTTACAAAACCAGCTGCTTTGGGAACCCAGGCAGGGGAATTTGATGCCCTGAACAGGTGACATTCCAGCTAGGGCCAGGAAAACGGTAGCAAGAGGCCAGGTGAGGTCTCAGGCAGAGCTGATGCCCGGTATACAGCAAACATTCACTGCAGACACCCTGTGCAACAGTCTCTGTGCTCCGCATGTGCTGTGCATTTCCCTTGTGGTCATCCCATAGCCCCCTCAAACTGTTGCTCTTCCTAGAATGCCTTTTACTAGCAATAAAGCAAAGGTTCATAGTGATGTCATCGGCCCGAGGAAGCACAGCTAAAACTACAGGAGCTGGGATTGGGCAGCAGAAGCCACGGGGGTAAACTGTGATAAGTCTGACTTCCAGCTCCACTACTTCCCAGCTGTGAGAACTTGGGTGGGCCTGTTCACCTCCGTGAGCCTCAGTTCCTGCATCCGTAAAATGGAGCCACTTCCACGGGCCTCACAAGATAGTTTCCAGAGCTTGAAGCTTGCTGAGCAGGGAGGTTGGCAGCTGTTTGTGGATTGGGTGCTGACTCAGCTGCGTGGGGTGAGGACAGCGAGTCAGCTCTGGGCACCGCCAAATGTTTCTCTTGGGAAGGTGACCAGGATGCTCTGAGTTCCGAATTCATCTCCAGGAGTCAACCAGAAGGAAGGGGCATTGGTGGGCAATGGGAGCCCAGAGTCGCTCTCAGATGGATGTGGAGATGTGCTGGCCTGCTGGGTCTGGATGGGCCACAGGACAGTGGGAAAGGGTGTGTGGACCTACTAGGTGGGGATGACTCTGGACTCTGCTCGCCTCCCATCCACTTCAGAGACCCCAGGAGTGATGCTGAGCTGAAACAGGCCTTTGGGAGCTCTCTTCTTGCCTCCTCAACCTCAATGTGGGAAACTGAGGCCTAGAGAGAAAGGCTTTGCTTGTATCCCACAATGCTTCTGGGCAGATCCTGTGGAGCAGAGGGGGTGTTCAGGACACCAGAGGGTCACCTCCACGAGCAGAGGCGTGGCTACCCTTCCCCACGGTGTCCCCGTGCTTGGCATGTTGGAGGTGCTCAAGAAGTGTTTGCTGAGTGAATGAGTCGGTTGAGAAAAGTACACAGCTGGGAGTGTTCAGCAGAGCTGGAATTCTGTCTCTGCTCTGACTGGCTCTACCTCCCTGGCAAGCTGCTTTGTCTTGCTGGACCTCACTTTCTCAAAGTAAGATTACAAACCCACTGAATCAGTGCCCAGGCAGGGATCTGAGCCCAGGTCTGCCAGATTCCAGGGCTGATGGTTCACTCTGCACCCTTCTGAGTTCTGATCCATTCATTCACGCATGTAGAAAATATTACCAGGAAATATCTATGTGCCAGGTGCTGTTCTAGGCTCTGTGGATACTGCAGTGAATAAGGCAGGAGTGATTTCTGCCCTCATGGAGCCTTATATTCTATAAGGGGGGACAGTCAACAAACAAATAAATAGAACAGGAATAGTGGTGAATAAAGAAAGCATAACAGGGGTGGGCATGGGAATTGGGCCACCCTAGATAACGTGGTCAGGAAAGGAGATGTCATTTTTGTGTGTTACCTGATAGGACAGCAGCTCCTAGGCAAAGAACCTGAAAAAGTCAGTAAAATGGGAATCATGTGGCTGTCCCAGGCCTCAGACCTGCAGACGATGAGGAGAGGAGGGTGTGAGAGGCAAGCAGGGACCAGAAATGTCCCAAGCAGCTGCACATTCCCCGTGGGGCCAGTACAGCCCTTGTGGGCCTCTGACCCCTGGGTCACCTTGATCTCTCCCCCTCTGACTGCCTCTCCGCCTTCCAGGTGAAGCAGATCATGGAGGAGGCCGTCACGCGTAAGTTTGTCCATGAAGACAGCAGCCACATCATCTCCTTCTGTGGTGAGTCCAGGGCCCACCCATGGAATAAGAAAGTAGCTTCTTTCTCTGTGGGCTGCTTCAGGGCAGTGGCATCTTTGAATCAGGGTTCCCACATCATGTTTTCCTTTGTGACTCTAAAGTTATTTTTGGATTCCAAAGAGACTTCTTTGGAGAATGTGAAAATACAGACAAGTCTAGAGGAGTAATTAAAAATGGCTTCTGCACTCCATGAAGATGTTGTCATGGTTGACATGAGAGGAATTGATTGCCTTCCCCTCCCCATGGGCTTGGTTCACACTGACCCACAGCCCCAGCGACACATGGTCTTGCATCTGAGCAATGGGTGCCCTGTCCTTTCCTCGCCCTGCCTCCAGCCTATTTCTGGGCAAAGGAAGAGGGTAGATGGAGACTTCTTTTTAAAAAGGGAATTAAGACCAGCCTCATCAGGGCTCAGTGGCTCAGCCTGTAATGCCAGCACTTTGGGAGGTCAAGGCAAGTGGATTGCCTGAGCCCACAGGTTCAAGACCAGCCTGGACAACTTGGCGAGACCGCGTCTCTACAATAAAATTTTTAAAATAGCCAGGGGCTACTCAGAAGACTGAGGTGGAAGGATCGCCTGGAGCCCAGTAGGTCAAAGCTGGGGTGGCCGTGAGCATGTGTGCAATGGCACTCCAGCCTAGGCGAAGGAGTGAGACTACAACTCAAAAAAAAAAAAAAAGACCAGCCTCAGTAACTCAGTTTATAGTCCCAGCACTTTGGGAGGCCAAGGTGAGTGGATTGCCTGAGCCCATGGGTTCGAGACCAGTCTGGGTAACTTGGCGAGAAACCGTTTCTACAATTAAAAAAAAAAAATTAGCCAGGCATGGTAGCACGCACCTGTATTTCCAGCTACTTAGAAGGCTGAGGCAGAAGGATCACTGGAGCCCAGCAGGTCGAAGCTGGGGTGGCTGTGAGTATGCCGTTGCACTCCAGCCTGAGTGACAAGAGTGAGACTCCAACTCAAAAACAAAAAGGAAGGGGGGGGGGACATTAAGAACCATGGACACCTCCTGAGAGATCACAGCCAGTCAGCTCAACAGAGGAGGCTGACCCAGGGCTCAGAGTATGACTCAGATGTGTCTCTGAACCATCCATGCCCACAAGGTTCCAGGTTCTTCCTGTACTGACAGTGGCTAGGGCCACATGTTCTGCGTGTCACCTAAAGTCAGCATTCCACTCACAATCAGTGTGTACTTAGAAGTGGAAGTGCTTTTTTCTGTCTCCCTGAACACTTTTTTTTTGAGTCAGCGTTCCACAGTATAGTGGCATCCTTATGGGCACTGCAGCCTTGATCTGCTGGGCTCCAGTGATCCTTCCGCCTCAGCCTTCCAGGTAACTGGAACCACAGGCATGTGCCACCATGCACAGCTGATTTTTTGATTTATTGTAGATGAGGCCCCACCGTGTTGCTCAGGCTGGTCTCGAACCCCTGAGCTCAGGCAATCCTCTCGCTTCTACCTCCCAAGGTGCCGGGATTACAGGCTTGAGCCACTGTGCCCTGCCCGAACACTTTTGTATTTACTAATCAGAGTATCTTGTAGGGAAGGCCTGCTAATTCTCCTTCCACGATCTTAGTCCCATGGAGAGACCTAAGCCGGAAGACACAGCTAGCTGTCAGCCACACACACATGGCCAGGGGTGCCATACCATACGCTCAGCACCTCATGACTGAAGACCCTGACCCTAGGTCACCCCCTTAATAGCCAGGTAGACCTGGGTCCATTGCCCAGTTCTGCCACTTTTCTTGTTGGGAGACCTTGGGCAAGATCTTATTTTTAAGTGGGATATTGTGTGTGTGTGTGTGTGTGTGTGTGTGTGTGTGTGTACACACACATAAGTATATATACAGATGTATATGGGAATATATGTGTATTTAATATATGTGTATTCCCTGCTTGTATTTCTTCCTGGACTTTTTAATTTGCAATTAAAATCACATGCCTTTAGGAGACTGAGGTGAGTGGATTGCCTGAGCCCGTGGGTTCGAGACCCGCCTGGGCAGCAAGACCTCATCTCTACAATAAATCAAAAAATCAGGAAGGATCGCTGGAGCCCAGCAGGTTGAGGCTGCAGTGGCCGGGAGCAGCCACTACACTCCAGTCTGGGCGACAGAGTGAGTCTCCAACTCAAAAAAAAAAATCACATGCATGCCCATGTCAGGACTTGCTAACATACCTATTCATTCAAGTTTTAGTAGACAAGAAAGTGATAAAAGATGACAATTATCCTCTAACTCTGATCAGTGGTTTTGGGTGGGAGAAAGTTAATCACACCAAATGAAGCCTAGAGAATCTTCTTGAGGTTCTTATGAAAGCTTCTTGCTCCTTACAAGCTGTTATCAGAAAGAATTGAACCATGCCTACAAAGCCCAAGCAGACAGTTCAATTATTTCAGTTATACACGAATGAAAAGTGCTGTGTATGTCAGTTAATATTAAGCCATTTAAGAACTTCTTGCCTGGAATCTTTTAAATCCATAGGTAGATGAGGCAGTATTTGGACATTCATTCAGAAGCAAGTGAATGCTAACTCAAAAAACAAAGACAAGTGATGAGACTAAGACTTCTTGACTTCCTCCTTACACATAACATTGGCCAAGCTCTGACCCCCAAGAGTGCTGGTTTACTCTTTAGAGCTCTTTCTTTATGGGTTTTGTCACAAGAATTAGGGAAGGTAAATCTTAATGGTTCTTTGATACCTGTGTAATAAGAAGTTGCTTTTATTATATGCTCACTTTTTCAATAAACTTTGATTATACACCACTGCATAACAGTGTAAGCTCTCAGTCTTCTATATAAGACAGAAGGTAACAAGATAGACAGGGCTGCTGAAACTATCAGGAGTAAGACAGGGACCATCAGAATGCCCTCCACAGGGCTGTTTTCCCAGAAGGAAACACTGAGGCTCAGAGAGGGAAAGTGATTTGCCTGAGGTCACACAGCAAGTTAATGGTAGAGCCCAGTCTTCAATCCAGGTCTCCTGTTCTGGGGAGCTGGGCAGGGCCTCCAAGGGAAACACAGAAGTGGGTAGGTTACCATTATATCCTCTCTTCCAAGGTCTTTTGCAGCACAGTGTGATGGTATACCTTGGACTCGGACTTGGGATTGAATCCTGCCTCTGTCGTTTATTTGCTGGGTGGCCCTGGGCAACTCAGTTCACCTGTCTGAGCCTCAGTGTCCACATCTGAAATACAGGGGTAGTTTTCCTTTCTTCTTGACCATGGCAAAGATTAAGTGAGATCCAAAAGTGTTACTGTAATCACAGTATAAATGATGATGACTATGTGATTCTTTAATCCAGATAAAGCTCACCAATCATGTGGTCCAGTCTCCCCTCCCTCCTTGACAAAATTAAAAAAATAATTGCAGTGCACATGCTCACACGTGGATGCAGGAAAGTCAGGCTAAAAGTGTCTGCTGCTGCTGCCCTCACCCCCCCATGCCGCCTCCGGAAGAGTTTAAAACTATAATTGAAAAAGTGGAGTTCCGGTAAGATGGCAACAGCATAGGTGGAATTGTGAGATTCTCTGAATGTGAGTTCCCCAAAAGACTCTTACTTTTCTTCCCCCACCCCCTGCCCATCGCCAGCCACACTGGTACAAGGCCCAGGGACCCTCGGTCCCACGCAGGGCCGGATATTGCAGCACCCGGCTGCTGCTGCTCTACTATTCGTGACTCCCGTCCACGCAGGAGTCTTGGGTCTCGGCTCCCTCCCTGACTACATCGTCTTGCCCAGCACCAAGGCACCAGTCACCCAGGGAGGCTCTGGGTGCCCACCCCTCAGAGATACCGATTCCATTTCTGGCTGAAGTACCCTGTGAGCGGCCCAGGGCCACTCTTGCCACTCACCTCCTGCTCTTTGGAGCTTTGGAGCTCTGGAGCTCTGGGCCCACCCTGACTGAGGCAATCAGTGCGTGACCCCATGCTTGTGTAAGGGAACAGCATATCTTAAGGAGGTGCTGATTGGAGGCTCTAAGCTCCAGAGGAGGGAACTCCTGACCCCCTCATCCATCCCAGCCCCTGGTGGTACCCCAGATCCGGCACCCAGTTGTGCAGCTGATCCCTGGTGCCTCCCATGCCACCACAGTCCATCATAGTGGGTCGCCCAGGGACCCAGACAAGTGGAGAGAAAGTATCTGCGAAAGAGAAACTGCCACCTCGGCCATTCTCTAGGCAGAGATTTGCATTGCCCTGCCCACCTATGAGCAACATCCACCTCGGTTCCTAAGGTAACATCGCTAAACAGGAGACAAAGCCCCTCCCCTACGCTGAATCAGACAAAGGCAACTAAGTGTTGCAGACCTACCAGGCAGCATGCTAAAAGAAAACCCAAGCTGTGAGTAAATTTAGCTGTCTGCAATGAAAACAAAGGGAAGAGGCTGGAGATCAGAGCTGAAGAGACTTTAGACACTCAGGAAAGATTCCAGAGCTAGTCTGATTTCTTATTTTGACTTTTGATTTTATCATTTTGACTGTTTGTTTTGCTCACTTTTGCTTGCTTTTTGACTTACACTATCTGTTTGTGTTAGGCAAAATGCATCAAAAGGCATGATTTTATTGGTCTGTCTTTGTGTAGCTACCAGTATTCTTTAGGGAATTTTGCTTGCATGTTTTTTTCACTTCTCTCAGGCCTTGTGTCTCTTTTTCACTTGTTAGTTGGTATGTAGGTCTGTTGTCCCTCTCACTCGTCTCTTTTTCTAACTTCCTATTGACCCCCCCTCCGTTATTTTCCTCTTGTGTACTTCCTTTTGTCCAGGAACAAAACCTACATACCACTGCACAGACAGATTGTAAGACAGTGGGAAATAGGTTCCAGTGGGCTCATACACCAGTTGGTGGATGCTGGAATCAGCATAAAGATTCTGAATCACAGCTTCCTCCTCAATTAAACCTCAAAACTCCAAAAAGTACACCTGCAGCCCACACTCCAACCTCAAAAGTGAACAAAGCCAGAGGACTCTCATAAGGAAGAACAGGAGATTGCACAAGCGAAGCAAAAGCAACCCCACCTTCCCTGAAAAACAGAATTAAGGAAGGGGAGGGAAAGGGGGAGAGAGAGAAAAATCTACACAAATGAAGAAAAACCAAAAGAAGAATATGGGTCTCTCCCAGACCCCTGGGAGGGGAGACACTGAGAAAACTGACTTCAGAATACAAACAATGAAGAGCCCCCAGAATGACTGGTCTCAAACTACAAACCTAGATATGAAGACATTAATGGAGAGATTAAAAAGAATTGAGGAGAGAAAAGAAAAAACTAGGAAGGAGCTGATAACTGAGATAACAGTAATAAAGAATACTGTGAATGAAATAAATAACAAACTGATAAGCATGGAAAGCAGAATTTCCCAAGCAGAAGAAAGAATTTCAGAGCTTGAGGACCAAAATATAGAACTAACCCAAACTTTTAAAAATACAGAAAACAAGCTCAAAAAGACAGAACAAAACCTTCAAGAGATGAGCGATTACTTCAAGAGACCGAACCTAAGAGTAATTGGCCTTCCTGAGGCAGAAAGAGAGACAGAGACCACACTGGAACAAACTTTCCATGAGATTATTCAAGAAAACTTCCCTCATCTAATCAGTGATGCAAAAGTTCAAACACAAGAGATTCAGAGAACCCCTGCAAGACAACAAAGAGAAGACCAACTCCTAGACACATAACAATTCGCCTAAACAAAGTAGGTAAAAAAGAAAAAAATCGTAAAAGCAGCAAGAGAAAAAGGCCAGATCACCTACCATGGAAGACTAATTAGAATAGCACAGATTTATCTACAGAAACCCTGCAGGCTAGGAGAACTTGGAGCCCTATCTCCAGAGTCCTAAAAGATAAACAATTTCAACCAAGCATAACCTACCCAGCAAGTTAAGCTTCATCAGTGAGGGAGAATTAAAATCTTTCCCAGATATTCAATCCCTAAGAACTTACGCTGCCACCAAACCACCTCTACATGAGACACTTAAGAAAGTACTAAACACAGAAGAAAAGGAAAAAAGAGCAACGTTCTTCACAAGAGTACAGGAAAAAGAATAAAATACACATGAACCGACCCCAAAACCAAAAGAAAGACAAAAAACCAAATGGAAGAGCAACAACTCTATAAGAACTCTATGATAGGGACAAACTCTCACATTTCAATAATTAACCTGAATGTGAATGGACTAAAATTAGCACCACTCAAAAGCCATAAAATGGATAAAATACCACCAGGCAACAATATACTGCCTTCAAGAGACCCATCTCACTAGAACGGACATGCACAGACTTAAAGTAAGAGGATGGGAAACAAATTTTCAGGTGAATGGAACACAAAGGGGCAGTCGCGATCCTAATTTCAGACAAAATACCATTTAAGCTATCAAAAATTTTAAAATATACAGAGGGCCACTACATAATGATAAGAGGTTCACTCCATCAACAAGAAATTTCTATCCTAAACATATATGCACTCAACATAGGAGCACCAACTTTCATAGAGCAGCTTCTAGGAAAACTAAAGGAAGATATTGACTCTAACACC